AAAAAAAAAAAATAACATATTCTCAAGCAGCAAGCGCCCTAGGCTCTCCCAAGCTGGGGTGGTGGGGGGCCTCAGGCCTCGGCCATGCCCTCCCCCACCTGCAGCCAGCCCAGCGGTGACCATTGAGCCACTGCAGGAAGCGCCCTGGGCTCTCCCAACCTGGGGCAGTAGGGAACTGTGGGCCTCGGCCATGCCCCCCTGACATGTAACTAGCCCAGTGACGACCACCAAACTGCAGCAAGGAGGGCCCTGGGTTCCTGAGCTGAGATGGTGAGGGTGAGGGCTTTTCCACACCCCTCTGACACCTGCACCCAGCCCAGCAATGACCGAACCACCACTGGAAGCCCTCCAGTCCCTCTGTGGGAATGAGGGGGGTGCGCCACAGGCCTCAATCCTGCCCCTCCTCCTTCCTCCTTCTTCCATCCCATTTCCTTCCCCTTTCCCCTCTCCCCATCCCTCCCAACTGCTCCGCAACATCCTAGAATGTAAAAAATAATATTAATAAAATTACATTTTCTAAAAAAAATAAAATAATATAAAAATAAAAATAACATATTCTCTCTGTGTCATATACAGAATGTTGACAGAGCTCAGAAGGTCCAAATCAGAACCTTAACACAGGGAGCCATTCGTCACTTCATGTACAGTGTCTGTGTCACCCCAGACGGTCTGCTTCCCTCTCCTTGGTGTGCACTCACTTACCGAGTAACTGTACTAGGTTAGGGTGTTTGATCTCTTTCATTACTGCAGCTTCTTTCAAGAACTCTTCCACCTCCATGGTATCTTCCTGTAGAAGGAAAAAAAGAAGTGAAATTATTTCAGCAAGGAAGTGTTTAAGTGGGAAAGTATGACTTGAATGGTTAATACAAACTGTAGCCTCAATGTACAAGCATCCAGGACCACCTTTTCTACAGCCACATTGCTCTGGACAGGTTCCATGACAGTTGGTTATCACCCCAATGGCACAAAGAATTTTCCCCTTTGGTGCTGAACTTTGGAATTCTTATGCAGGGCAACAGGTCAAAGTTGGCTTGCACATGTTGATAACTTGCTTCTGGTGGCTGCTCTGCAGGGGTAAGTGTTTCCCCAACTCCTGGAGTCCACCAGGGTGGGGGAGGTGTGTAGAGGCTACCACCACCACAAACAAGGCCCTATTTCCTAAGGAATATCTGATCTCTCAGGGGTCCTAACACACCTAACATTTAAAAAAAAAAATACTTGAAGGATCTGAAATTACCCTTTTAAGAGGAGAGACCCTGATGACAAAAAGAGATACTACAAAATATGGCAGAAACAGAGGATGCTGAACTGCTTACGCATGCAGTGTCATGGGGCTCTTAATGAAGCAATCACCACGATCTGTCAGGTCAATTACTCAGATTCTAAAATAATCCTCAACAGCAGCAACCCTAACAATGGATTCACAAGTACCATCAGTATACGTCACATTTTAACAAGTCCATAGTACCTAAATGCCAACGGGGAGAAAAAGATATTGGCCCAGGGCAAATGAGATGACATTTCCTCACATTTTTCAGTCCAGGGTCGAGTCTGAAGTCCTGCGGCACCTGGCCCCATCACACAGAGCTGTGGCCTTGGCATACATCAGTCAGCCTCTTTTTGACTTGAAAAAGCCAATGTCTTCTGAACCAACCATCAAAACAAGCAGCAAGTGGGTCATAACTGAGATGGTATATTCAGCTGTGAGGATCTGGCTATGAAGGTCAAAGAAAGAAGCAAGACACCTTCACGTTTCAACATGAAGTTTTGAGTCTGTCTGAAGAGAAAGACTGCATGGGGGATCGGAAGTGAACTTCTTGAAAACTACGTTCCCCAAAGAGGAAAGCTTTATCCACTTCCTGTTAAATGTGGAATCTTATACACTGTTCCTACTCCTTCAGGAAGCAAGGAGCTAAAGCGTCCTTACTGTACTGCTCACTGTGGCTGCCCCAGTGCCTCCCTCTGACATGGGGAAGACTTCCAGAGGACGGGTCAACCTTTACTTAGAGCCCTCTTGCTTTGGTCGATCATGTTTACAAGCGAAGCGTGACCAAGGAGGATATGTGTCAGCCCATTATCACTTAGCTTAGGGCTCTGTAAGACTGAAACTTAGAAACAATTTATTGCTCTTTAAAAATGGTGAGCCCCTCCTAATGTCAATTAAGCATCGTTGGTAGTCACTGCGTCAAGCTGTACAGGGGGAAAGAACAGCCCTGCAGCCACCTCACTGGCTGTCTAATTCTTCTGAGTCCTCTCTGCGCCTTAACATGCTCAGCAGACCATGCTGTTTTCGGCGTGGTGTGCTCTGATTTACCAGGGTGACACACTAATGTCAAAGGCTGGAGAGTGATCGCCTGCCATAATTGGGGGATTCGATGCTGCTCACGTACAGGACTGGGGCTTTAACAACCTTGCCTGGCCAACACTATGTTCAAAAAGCAGCTTTTGAATGAAGGTTTCTAGACAACTGGAGTTTTCCTTTTTTAAAGCACCACATAATAAACCATGCACAGTGAAATCATTTCAGAAATATTTGTTTTTATAGCTACTGACCCTTTTCTAAAAGCCCCACGTTATAGATCTTGAGAGGCATAAACGTGCAAAAGGAGCAATACGGTTTGCAAAGGCACCCATCTTCTTGTCTGTCTGTCTTTCTCTCTCTTTACAAACACACAGACACATACATACAAGCACAGTATAAATAATTCCTTGCTTTTTTTTTTTGTTGAGAAAAATCGGTGTGAATTTGTCTCCCCCTGCTGGAATCAGATGTACTTCAATTTATAATTTAAGCTACTAGCAGCGACCTAGATTTGTAGTTGTGTTAAACTGGAAATATCCCCGATGCTTTCCTGTGACATGCCTTCATTTTTATTAAAAAATTTCACATCATCCTTTGGAAGAGAATCCTTCCATTTACATAGTAAAATAAAACTAACTCAGATGAGTCAGTGTGAAGGAAATGCTTTGAGTGAAAGCTGTGAATTTCCAGCCTTGTCTCTTCTGTGCCTGTTAAGGAGGGAGATGGGTCAACTAGCTTCTTTTCAAAAGGACTAAGTGGCCTGGCCCAGATGTGGATGAACATTTTGGATGCTACAGTGGAGTGGTTAAGAGGATGACCTGTCAATTATACCAATCTAGCTCTGCTGCTGTGTGACCTTGACAAGTTACTTGCCCTCTCTGAACTTGTTTCCCTATCTACGAAATGGAGGGAATATCTGCATCTGCCTCATGCACAGAGTGCCAAGAGTGGTGCCTGGAACATGCTCAGCACTCTATCAGTGGTGCTCACTTTTACTGTTACTTAAACAGTTGGTCTCTACTCCTGACAAGCAGACCAAAGGTAGTGCTTGTATGAAAGAAAGGCTGGTTCTTTAATGAATACTGGGTTTTTTTGTCTTCTCACAGACATGTTCTCCCAGACTTGAGATCTCACATGTATCTTCTAATCAAGCATCTCCTTTTTGTTCACTTGCATGTGTAGGTTCTATACAGCATAAAAAGGAAGTGGCTCAGCAGCCAGCTGCTCCTGCACAGCCTTTAGAGCTCTCGGTGCCAGCCTCCCTCTCCGCAGGGATCCCTGGCCTGGAACAGGGCTCTTAACTACAGACACATCAGTTTCCACATCCGTTTCTGGTTCTCAACCAAATGCTATGTGGGCAAGATTACAAGCACGGTGAAGTGCCATCCTTCACCTAGCAGATGGAATGGGATGAACACGATTAAAACCACACTGGAGAGACGGGGCAGCTTCTGAGCTCGACTGAGGGTGGCCCAAGGCCGATGTGGGAGCTAAGGCTCAAGTGAAAAGCCGCGAGAAGCAACCTCAGAGAGGAACCCCAGGAACTCTGGTCCCCGAATGGTGCCACTGTATCCAGCTCCACGGCCAGAGGAGAACCTGCTGCAAGAGTGGGCATGGCACGGCCTCCGTCCCTGATGCACAGCCCTTCTTGTAAAGTCAGAGAACCAATGCATGTGACTGCCAAGTGTGAACGCTGTCACGGAGCCCTTTCTTCTCTGTTTGTTTCTGGAGCTCCCCGATAAAATCTACTTCCTGGGAGAAAAAAATAAAACCAAAACCAAGTCACATGGTATTGTGAGGCACTTTCTCAGCACCACTGGTGGACTGCAAATTGTCACGAGCTCCTCAGAGGCACGGTGACAGTTCAATCAAAACCATAAATGCACATGGTCCCTGACCTAGTGTTTCTGAGGAACTGACCCACCAGGACAGTCTCGCAGATGTGCAAACAAGGATAATCCCTGTGGCACTGTTCATAATAGAAAAATACTGAAAATAACACAAAGGCCTATTGAGGGCTGGTCCACATTAAAATACATCCATATAAAAACAACACAGCCTTATATGTGCTGACAAGGACCAACTGCCAAGATACATTCAAAGGCCTATTGAGGGCTGGTCCACATTAAAATACATCCATATAAAAACAACACAGCCTTACATGTGCCGACAAGGACCAACTGCCAAGACATAAAGTGGACAACAGAAGGTATAGGGCAATGTGTACAGTATGTGTCATATGGTTTAAAAAAAAAAAAGGTTCACACATGTGGACTCAGGAAAGATGCAAAAATTGAGGGTGGGAGAGGATTATGTGCATATATTACTCACTCAAAAAACATATATTATTTTCCACCATTTTAATAGTAAGTTTGTCAGTTTGTGAGTCAACCTTAAGGCCACAATTAGACAAACAGTAGTCTCTTCTAAATTCTATTACTTACACAACTGTTTCACAGAAAAAACTGAGTTACAAATAAATTTCTGGAACAGGGCTCATTTAAACCTTGGGGATTCTTGTACTTGACAGCTGGTTCTCTCAAGCACATGCTGCCTTTAACACCGACTGCACACAGGTGTGGCAATGCCTGCGTCCTGCCCGATACTGTCAAAACTCCAACAGGCAGTTCCCAGTCCAGGGGCCTTTGCTGTAATTCCAGCTTCCCGTCTGTAGGGGTCAGCCTAGTGCCCTCCTTCCTTCATGTCATCCTGTCTTCTGCTCTGAAGGTCTGTGACCCAGTGCTGCCTTAAGTAGGGCCTTGCTCCGCTGCTGGTTAGGGAGGCTCAGGCTCTGCCCTTTGAGGGGCCAGCAGTACAAAAACAGGAGGGGTTTAAGAGACCCGTCATGTACCCAGTCTGGGCTGCGCAAAGAGAGGTGCTCAGAGAGATCCGTTGAATGAATGAAGCTTGGGCTACAGCTACAAGGCTTTTTCAAGGAGTTCTGAAGAGGATAGATTGGAGCTACAGACTGTGAGGGAGGTGAATGGGAGAGAGAGAAAAAGGTGATTTTCTAAAAGAGGCAGAACTGTGGTTTATGTATATTTTTCCTGGTGTTTGAGGAATAAGAATCTGAGTAGTTACAATTAAAAAAAAAAAAAAGAGCTGGGCTCTGGAGCTGGTGCCTGGGTTTGAATCCTGCCTCTGCCACTGCTGGCTGTGCAGAGCCAGGCCAGTTACTGCACCTCACTCAGCTTCAGCGTCCTCGGCCTCAAACAGCGACACAAGCCATTACACTGCTCTTAAGGCTGTAAGAACTAAATGAGATGCTCCACGTAACAAGCACTCAGAATTCTGCCAGATACACAGTAAGAGCTCCATTGGTGTGAGCCTTTACTTAATTTAGGACCCGCTCAAAATTCTCAACTTCTATAGTAAACGCCGCACATATTGATACTAATCCTATTTGACAAGCAGGCAACATTCTGTTGAGATGTTTTTGTGCAGGGCCAGGTGGAAGGAGGGATAATTTATTTAGCAGTTGCTTATTAGTGTATTTTGAATGAACATATCTAATTAGATACCACTTGGGGTGACTACTCACAGAAATCAATGCAACCAGCACCTATAAATCTTTGCCAACTTTGGCACCATAAAGTAACAAGGTTCTTGGGAAAAATCATTAAAAGTATAATAAAAGTATAACGATTCATTATTAGTAAAGCATCTTCTGAAACACACCCACTTCCAGGCAAAATTCTGATTCACTGGCATAGGGGAACCACCTCCAGCACCACCACCGAGCTCCAGGACATTCCCTCCTCTGTAATCTCCTGCTACTGTTGTTTAGGAAATAATGCCGCAGCATCATCTACTCAGGTGGGTTTTCCCTCCAATTTTTTTTTTCTTTTTTTGGCAGCTGGTTGGTACAGAGATCTGAACCCTTGATCTTGGTGTTCTCAGCACCATACTCTACCAAGTGAGTTAACCGGCCGGTCTCTTCCCCAAATTTCAAGTTGTGCAAACTCTATCTCTTTTTACTTTGAAGTTTTCAAACATGCCTTTACTGGCTGAAATCTAGTGTATTTTGAGCTTTTACTCTTTCTTCATTTTTGCAAATTCTTTTTTTTTAAATTAAATAAAAGTTTATTGCCTACTGTTTACACTCATGTTGCTGCTGTAAATACAACATGCACACTTGAGAATACACTTTCAAGATACCATGCCCCCATTCTTCTTTCTTTTTAAAATCCCTAATGCAAATTCTGATAGATGTAACACTTGGGCCTTTTGAGCTGTCAAGGGTCCATTTCTCTGGGCCTGGTCTTCAACCCTGTGTCGATCAAGGAACGGAGCACCAGCACACCCCTCTCCCTGTGCTCACACAGTCTGTGGGACACGGTCTGTTCTTTCTGTTCTTTTATTTGAGAATACTGAACTAACCTGCACATGTGTAAAAGACAGTAGTTGGTTTCAAAACTTGGTGTACAGGTACAAAAGCCTGGGATTGCTGGATTTACAATACACTAGCCACCAAGTAATAGCACCCTCCAATGTAGTAATCTTTGTGAAAATCAAATCAAATCATGTGATTTCTGTGCATCAGATCCCTCAATGGCTCCCCACTCCCTCCAGGATAAAACCCCAGCTCCTGAGCCCGGGTTCAAGGCCATTGTGACTTATCGTGCCCCTCAATGCCCCTAGCTTTTCTCTCTGCCTCTGCCAAGTCCGACTCCTCAACACGGCCTGGCTCACAAGTCGCTTAATGCTTTCTCCCTGCCAAGCACAGCTCACCAGCCCCTCCTTCACTCATGTCCTTGCGGTGCCACAGCTCTGAGCATGTGCCTCAAATGCTGCATTTGCCACCCTGTACTGCAATCCTTGTTATTTTGCCTATTTTCTCCTACAACCTAGACTATCCAATGCCTGAGGTGACAAGCCGTCTGATTCACTGTCTAATCCCAGTGTTAAGCCCAGGGTCTGGAAAACAGAAGTGAGGAACTTGGTGATTATTTATAAAATTTAAAAAGTCCTATCTGGAAAATATCCAGGAATCCTCTAGGTGACCCCAAACCATGCCGCCCCTCCCCCCAAGGGTCAGATCTGCCCCAAGGACTAATGTAGGGAAACGTTGAGTATGAGCATCAGGAAACCACCTGTGGTTTCTAGAACTAAAGGATTCAATATTTTCTCTAAAGCAGTCACTTTTTCTCAGCCCCAAACCACACTGCCCATTTCACTGTGCATTTGAGGGAAGGCAGCAGGTAAGTCACAGGGTCCCTAGAAGGCAAGCATTTGGCTGCGCCAGTCTTGATGCACGTACCTGACTTTTGAGACACCTGCACAAACTTGGGTCTATTTTTCCCAGCACTGTATCTTCCAGTTCTTTTTGTTTTCCAATAGCTACTAAAAGGGGATCCCTCAATGTAATCAGAGTTCACTTAAAAGAAGTGAAAATAACACGGGTCAACACTAGGGGACACTCTTGCCGCTGGGAAAAGCTCAGATCACATTTTGAGAGCTGAAAATGAAAACTTTCTTTCCTTGGTGTTCTAAGGATTTCAAAGAACTTCAAAAGAAAAGAAAAAAAAAAACTGCCTGGAAACTATAAACATTATTCATTAGTTGAGGGTGAAAGTCACAGTTAACAAGAAAAAACAGGCAGCATCTGAGTTAGTAAAAAGCGAGTTTCCTTGATGCCTTCTAGTGGACGCACTGCCACCTCTGTTTGCCGAAGTCTGGGCACACGACGCAGAGAACTGGAACTCGCAGGGGCCGGCCCGGTGGCGCACTGGATAGTGCACCGCTTGGGAAGCGCGGCGGTGCTCCCACCCGAGGGTTTGGATCCCACATACGGACCGGTTCCCGCTCACTGGCTGAACGAGGCGCGGGAGCAACACCGAGGGTTGCGATCCCGTTGCCGGTCCCCGGTCAGGCGCGGGAGCAACACTGAGGGTTGCGATCCGACTGGCTGAGCGAGGCGCGGGAGCAGCGCCGAGGGTTGCGATCCCGTTGCCGGTCCCCGGTCAGGCGCGGGAGCAACACTGAGGGTTGCGATCCATTGCCGGACACGACAAAAAAGACAAAAAAAAAAAAAAGAACTGGAACTCGCAGGGGCCGGCCCGGTGGCGCACTGGATAGTGCACCGCTTGGGAAGCGCGGCGGTGCTCCCACCCGAGGGTTTGGATCCCACATACGGACTGGTTCCCGCTCACTGGCTGAGCGAGGCGCGGGAGCAGCGCCGAGGGTTGCGATCCCGTTGCCGGTCCCCGGTCAGGCGCGGGAGCAACACTGAGGGTTGCGATCCGTTGCCGGACACGACAAAAAAGACAAAAAAAAAAAAAAGAACTGGAACTCGCTAGAAACACCCAGTGCACTTTCCTCTCAAAGTACCAACAAGAATCCACAGCAGAGTCAAGTGCACTTTGGTTAAACCTCCTTCTTTCAAAACTCAGAGAACTTTTTTCCTTCTCTTAACTCTTAGTAGGAAGCAATCTCCAGGCCACATGAACAGAACAGAAACCCATGGCTTTAAAAGAACCTTGCTGTAGAATGAAAAAACTTCATCAAATGACTAACCTTTTTACACTAAAAACTCTCAGCACTTGTCAGCTCTCACCATATGTGGAAACACCCTGAGACTACGAGAAGGATTCAGCCCATACAAAGAAACACAGATGACATAAGACTGGGCACCAATGCACCAATGAGCTCCTCAGACCCGTCTGCAGAAGGCAGCTTTCTGGAAGGAGCATTACTGACGCCGGCAGACACCTGACCATGTTTAACTGTTGAGACACCGCGGCTGTGGTGGCTCTGGCCACACCCTGGCAAACTGGTCCCACCTTCAAGGTCTTCACGGCCACCGTCAGGCTGTACTTCTTCCACACGCCCTCGTACACCTCCCCGTACTGGCCCCCGCCCAGCTTGTGCTTCATGGTGATGTCCGTGCGCTCCATCTCCCACTTGTCGTAGTTGGGGGACACGCCGTAGACAGTGGGCTTGTTGCGCTTCGGGGCAGGATAGTGGAGAGTGGTGATGAGCCCGTCTGCCACAGTTGAATGGTGATGGACCAACTCAGCCAGAGTGTTGAAGCGGCTCTCTGAAGAGACGTAGAGCTGGGGAAACAGGGAAAAGCCTTCAGCCATACAGCAGGTGCAATCTCAAACAATTCAGATAAACCCACTTGACTGAGGTTTAATTTAACGCACAGCAAAACCTCAGATAAACAGCTCTCCACACAGGACTAAGTGCTTAGATGCCATAATTTACTTGCTAAAGCATGAAGATACAATAGAAGGCCTCAGGGCCTTTGCATCTGCTGCTCCCTCTGCCCAAAATCCTCCACTCCTCTGATATTTGCATGCCCAGTTTCTCTGACCATTCCAAGGCCAGTTTAAATGTCTGTGAAGTCTCCCCTGACCCCCCAACTCACCACCTGGCACGAGTCATCATAGCATATGTCTCATTTCTCTGCATCATACTTGCCACTAGTCTATAATTTCCTGTTTATTTGCTTAATTATTACCTGTCTCCATCCAACCGAATGTAAACTTCATGAGAGCAGAGCCCTAAGCTGTCTTTTTTTACCCTGTCCCCCCAATGTTGAGAACAGGAAATGAGCACAAAATACATGCTAAATAACTGTCACATAAATTAATGAATAGTAGAACTTAATAAGTATTTGCTCATTGGAAAAGAAAATTATTTAATTTATAATTATAAAGAGATAAAACCTAAAATGGGACAGTGATCAGAAGATGAAAATCACTAGACAAAATGTAAATCGCCTTTGCATTTGTACCCCCTCACTTTGGGTCTAGTGGGAAGCATAGGAGGCCAAGACTTGCAAATCCCAGCAGTATGCCCATGTAGGATGCCCCCTGTACTCTCCAGGAATAGAGTAGGGACTTGCATGGCTGCAAAAGGAGATGACACAGCCTTCACCGTCATGGGGAAGTAAACAAAGAGCATTCGAGTCTCTGTTTGAGACTTATAGCAGGTGAGGACCTCTGCAACAACCTCTCCATGCAGAGTTCTTGCCTGGACACAGAGAAGGAGAGGAAGGGAAGCGGGCAGGCTGGCAGAACGCAACAGCATGGGTGGAGCCAGCTACCCTTTTTCTCCTCTTCTAGTTTGTTTCAGTGATGTGGCAAAGGAACGCTTCTTTACCAAAACCAATTCCACATTAAAATCCACACACAACATCTGGGCTCCAGGCACATCTATGAATCTATTGGCTTGCCAAGGGCAGCCAACCAAGGCTGAAGGTGGAAAGGATACTTAAAATCACCACTAGGCATTCAGAAGATTTGCCCAAACTGCAAAGATGTGGGAAAGAGAAATACATATTTGAGACAGTGGTGACACTTGGGGCAAGAGGAGAAAAAGGAACAGGATCAGCATTCACTGTAGCTGTAATATCCTATTACTTAAAAAGAAAAAGGGGGAGAAAAAGCCTGAAACACACATGGCAGGGCTAGACCTGTGGCTGTTGGTTAAGTTAGGCACCACTACTTTCTGTATGTGTCACATTAGATAATAAAAATATTTTTTTTAAAAAAGAAAATAATAGAATGCACATGTTAATATCACCTATAACCCTCAAGAAGGTAAACAGGATTCATTAACAAGGAAAATTTTTTTCTTTCTTTTTTGCTTGGGAAGATGACATAAGTGAATTTTTAAAATTCAGGCAAGCCAATAGCAAACTTTGGGTTTACAATCTCTTGGTAACAATCCTACTAAAATAAAATTCTGAGAAACTCAAGACTTGTCCAGAAAGACTCCCCAGCTCTGGAGAACTTGCTCCTCACATGATGGCTGTGGCCCAGAGACACCAGCCTGTTCCTCTGCAGGATGGTGCCTCTGAATGCACGACCTATTAGGATGCGGAGGCCCACCAGGAGGCCCCACTTTTATACTTCAGAGCTCCAAAGAGAAACCTCTCAGTGAGCTGCTCTAGGGACATGCTACGAGTCACGCTCAGACCCATGAACATGCACACAGAGTGCGTGTGGGTGCTGGGGGTGGAGGGGCGGAAGCCAGCAGTGCTGAGGGATGTGTTGGCACGATGCCCATGCAATGACGTACACGGTCTCCTCAGCATCAGTCGCAGATGTAAGTGCGGTTCACAAAGAAAACTGAGTAGGACACGAGAACAGCTCCCAGTCCCTGCCTGCCTCAGGAAAAGTCATCCAGGTGTCCAACTACTTCACTGCAGGTAGCAAATGCTCTGACCCCTTTTCTCTCAGGGTAGCTCAGCTGATGGTGTTTTCCCTACCAAGGAGCATAGAGAAGTAAGAAAGACATCCCAAGACGACATTCTTGGAATCACAGCACCCCTCCCACCCGGAAAATCACTGGCATTATGTTAGGCAAAAGAGTCCATGTCGCTTGCAGGGCCCCTGGGGCAGGCACCTGGAGTGAGGCTCCTTACCCATCTCTCCCATCAGGGCGTGGAGCACGGAGTGGCCTGAGAGCAGTACTCCCCACCCCGGAGATCAAGTTCCTTTGATGCCCATGGAATGCTAACAGCTCTCCGCAGCCTTAATTCATGCAGCCTTTGTTCCTGGTCTCCTTCACTCCCTTACAGGCTACTCTGTTAGAGATTTCAGAGTTACAGGAGGTTTCACTGAATGGGCAAAACTTATCCCTTCCAATAATTAAATTTATAGACCTTGTGACCTAGGTCATCTTCAAAATAAACTAACATACTGACACTTACAAAATGTTAAAACTGCTCTCCCTCAAATGCACTGCATATTCGATTCACAGTCCCCTTCTCCGTTTCCCAACAACGGTCAGGTCTAGTGGCTTCCTTCTGATTAGCTGTAGTTTTTTTTTTTTTTTTTTGTCTTTTGTCTTTTTCCGTGTCCGGCAACAGATCGCAACCCTCAGTGTTGCCCCCGTACCGGACCGGGGACCGGCAACGGGATTGCAACCCTCAGCGTTGCCCCCGCACCTCGCTCAGCCAGTGAGC